AAATAATTTAAAATTCATAAAATTTTAAAAAGAAAACCAAATTTTATGAATTTTAAATTAAAAAAATTAAAAAATTTCACAGGGACCATTTGTGATAAGTGCGTGAACCTCAGAGATGTTTTGTGATATATATGTGCCACGTCAGCAAACTAACGAAATTTTTAACAAAAACTAACAGTAGAGACTATTTGTAATCACATATACTAATCTTAAAGACCACGAATTACAAAAAAAAATTAAAAATTAAAAATACAATATGATAATTTTGTAAACCTAATCTTAAGAACGTTATGTGGTATTAAGCATTTATTGAATGGAAGCAACGATACGTCACTAAGATCAAATTTGATCTAAAATCCATATTTACATCACATCACCCTCGATCGTGCATACATATCCCATGACATTGAAACGCGCGCCAAGACTAACTGCCAACTTCCACACCAATCCGCAGCCGCCACGCCAACATCCCCCGCATCGCCTCTCGCGTATAAGGAAACGAACCAGCGGAACTTTCCCATTTCGAATTTTCAAACCTTCTCCACAAACCAGCCAACCTCTTCTTCCTCCTCCTCCACCGACTCTCTGTCTCTGATTAAAACATAAAAATGCAAAGCCCATACCCAGATCCGACGGGGGAGGACGAATCACAGTCCATTACCAACAGGCGCATCCAACGGCTGTCCTTGCACCTGACACCCAATTACCCACAACCTCAAAACGACGCCACCCACCACCAGCTTCAGCTGCTAGAGTGCGCCAAAGCGGCGACGCTGAAGGTGGACACAGATAGTCTTTCCATTTACTTGAGAGGCAAGCATAAAGACATTCAAGACAGAGTTTTGGACTACTTCAACAACAGGCCTGATCTTCAGACGCCACTTGAGATTTTGAAGGATGATCACCGTGAGCTTTGTATGAGGCAGCTTGTTGCGTTGGTCAGAGATGCTGGGATTAGGCCTTTCAGGTGCGTGGTTGAAGACCCGGCTAAGTACTTTGCTATTTTGGAAGCCGTTGGAAGCGTGGACGTGTCTCTTGCGATTAAGATGGGGGTGCAGTACAGGTGATTATTGCTACTATGATGTTTATTGTTGTGCTTTTCTGGTTCTGGGTTTTGTGGCATTTGGTTGCTAATGATGGCTTTTAATTTGGAGTTTGGGATCGGAATTTTTGGGGAAAAGGTGTTTTTTGACATGGGTTTTGTCTTGTTTGATTATTGGATTGGTGGGTTTACCATGACAGATGACCATGATTCTTTGAATTGTCTCGTTCGATTTCCCAAATCATAGCTTTCGCTCTTAGTACATCATAGTATGTGTTTGTTTTACTCTGTGTTGTAATTGCTTTTGGATGATTGTTACTGCAGTAAATTTGTTTCTGCTCCACACACAGAGGTACATATATATGTAAGTAGACAAAACTGTTACAATACAAAACAATTGGTGGTCCACATCCAAAAGCTTATTTTTTGGGACCAGTGATAAACCAGTGAAATTCAGCTTGTAATGGAGAGGAGGTGGAGGTCCGCGCTCTGCCGTATTTTCTCACAATTTAATTCAAGTAGTTCATGTGTTAGTTCCCACTTGTGAGGGAGGCTGTTTACGGTATAAAATAACTGTTGGTTCACATTCTAACAGCTCAAGCTATTGGAACAATGGTAAACCAACAAAATTTGTTAAAAATGGAAAACCCTATACTAACACTGCTGTAAGGCCACCCATGAGCATAGATGAAAATTTGGTGATTGAGGTGCAATGTGCATGATTAGAAATAGCAGGATGGGATTAAGGTGGATGCGTGTCAACATTGGGACTATAATAGCAAAATCAAGTTTTTATAAAAAATTTGAGAACATGCAGAAGGTTCATGAGGTGAGCAAGGGACAATTAAGACAATTTTCATGTGGTGGGAACCTTGTGATAGCCTACATGCCTTGTTGTGCAAATTGAATATTCTGGAATGGACGGTTACTATATTTATATGAACTACAATGAATTTTTTAAGGCAGAAATTTCCATTAAAATAGAGGGTCCGCAGAGTTTATCATCACATTCGTTATTGCTGATTTTTTGTGTTTGGATTCAATTGATGTAATTTCATGGTTCTTAGATTGACAAAAACTTGTCATGGGGCCTTTTCTCTTCCAGTATGTGCTTACCTGAAACGTAGTTTGATGGTTAATTGCCTTAATCTTTACAATTTGTGTTTTATCACACTGATTTTTTTCCCCTCACTTGTGCAGTCTTTGGGGAGGTTCTATACTCAATTTAGGAACTAAAAAACACAAGGACAAGTATTTTGATGGTATTGACAATATGGATTATCCAGGTTGTTTTGCTATGACAGAACTGCATCACGGTGAGCTGTTTCTGTTACTTCCAGTTATTTACTTGTTTGGTTGCTTTTGCCCAAGCTGATATTAAAATTACACTTAATTTCTGTGACATCTCAAGACGTGCTTTCATTGTGTGTTCAAGCATCTTGATTATGTGGAAAGAATTGGTCTGCCCCTTGTACAACTTTTTGCAGTTTTTACTTCAGTGGGCACAAATCGTAATTCTTAATGACTAATATTATTCTGAGGAAGTCAAATCACATGGAGAAAAGTGTCCAATGAGCAAAAGATTAATGATGTGTGAGATAGCATGAAGAAAGTTCTCCAAGATTCTTGATGACTTGTTAGTCACTTAGTTCTGGAGTGTCAGAGTTGTATGGACTGGATGCTGAAATACGTATAACAACCAGAGTCTATCAACCTTTCGCCAGGTTAATATAATAACTGTTGATTGGTTGGTGCTAATTATCCCCTTTTGTTTTTTTAGAAGAGACAGGTTCATGATAGTTATCGATCATCTTTTGGTTCACATTTCTTTGTTATTATTTGTTTTATGTTTATATTTCTTAGGTACTGGTGCATTACTATATCTAGAATTCAGATCTAACCTCATTTGTTTTTTATTTTGGTGCCTAAAGGCTCAAATGTTCAAGGTCTACAAACTGTGGCAACATTTGATCCACTCACAGATGAATTTATAATTGACACACCCAATGATGGTGCCATCAAATGGTGGATTGGCAATGCTGCTGTTCATGGCAAGTTTGCTACAGTTTTTGCTAAGCTGATGTTGCCAACTCACGATACCAAAGGAGTTTCTGATATGGGTGTCCATGCCTTCATTGTGCCAATAAGGGATTTCGAGACCCACCAAACTCTTCCAGGGATTGAGATACATGATTGTGGCCATAAGGTTGGTCTGAATGGGGTGGACAATGGAGCATTAAGATTCCGCTCAGTGAGAATCCCTCGTGATAATCTTCTTAATCGATTTGGAGATGTCTCCCGGGATGGGAAATACACAAGCAGCTTACCATCTATAAATAAAAGGTTTGCTGCCACACTAGGGGAACTTGTAGGTGGGAGAGTCGGCCTTGCATATTCTTCAGTTAGTGTCCTCAAGATTGCTGCCATAATTGCAATTCGATATTCTCTACTGCGTCAACAATTTGGTCCTCCTAAGCAACCTGAAGTTACTATTCTTGATTACCAGTCCCATCAGCACAAGTTAATGCCAATGCTGGCTTCAACTTATGCATTCCATTTTGCCACGCTGCATTTGGTGGAGAAATATGCCGAGATGAAAAAGACTCATGATGAACAATTGGTTGGTGATGTCCATTCGCTTTCGGCAGGGCTCAAGGCTTATGTGACAGGATATACAGCAAAGTCATTGAGTATCTGCAGGGAAGCTTGTGGAGGCCATGGGTATGCTGCTGTCAACCGCTTTGGTAGCTTGAGGAATGACCATGACATTTTTCAGACATTTGAAGGGGACAACACAGTGCTTCTACAACAGGTTGCTAACACATCACTTTCTCTACACTCTTGCTTGGAGTGTTTATGATGTATGCTCTAGTTTGTTTTATAGGATAAAACATTCATGGGTTCCAAATCAGTAGAGCATGAAGTGTTCGAACAAGAGATGAAATAGATATGCCAAAAAAATTGTCGTAAAGCAATTCCTACAATGCAATTTTTCACTTGTGATGCAGGTGGCAGGTGATCTGTTGAAGCAATACAAGGAGAAATTTCAAGGGGGCACACTCACTGTTACATGGAACTACCTTAGAGAGTCCATGAACTCATATTTATCTCAGCCAAATCCAGTGACTGCTCGTTGGGAAAGTGAAGAACATTTACGAGATCCTAAGTTCCAGTTGGATGCTTTTAGAGTGAGTTTTATCTTGGTTTTCTGATTAAAATCCTACTTTTCTTTTTGGTGAATTCAAATACTTTTAGTATAAAATCAAAACTGAAATTTTAGTCACATAATTTTCCTCTTGCAGTATCGAACTTCTCGATTACTCCAAAGTGTTGCCGTTAGACTACGCAAGCACTCTAAAACACTTGGAAGTTTTGGTGCTTGGAATAGATGCTTAAATCACCTTTTGACACTTGCAGAGTCCCATATTGAGTCTGTCATCCTTGCCAAATTTATCGAATCTGTTCAGAAGTAATTCTTATTTCTCTGTTACTTTCATTTCTCTCCTTCCATTATGGTTTTGTATTTCTAATTTGGGCTATTTATGTGCCAGCTGTCCGGATGCAAGTTCTCGAGCTGCTTTGAAACTCGTTTGTGATCTTTATGCCTTGGAACGAATCTGGAAAGATATAGGAACCTATCGTAATGTTGATTATGTGGCACCAAACAAAGCTAAGGTATTTAAACACCTTGACTAATAATCCAATGAAGCATGAAAAATAAAACTAAAAATCTTTTGATTCTATGCTTTCACTATGAGTCAGGATAACGGAAACCATATGTAAGCCTGAATAGACGTAGTCACAAATGCATCATGCATGGCTTTAGAAGGAATGCCCTGAAGTTCCCAATTTTGACTGATGATTTCCGTCTGTGCAGGCAATCCACAAACTCTCAGAATATCTGAGTTTCCGAGTGAGGAATATAGCAAGGGAACTGATTGACGCTTTTGATATTCCAGATCATGTTACACGGGCCCCAATTGCAATGCAGTCAGATGCCTACTCTCATTACACACAATACGTGGGCTTTTAATTCTTATAGAAAAAGAAAAAGCAGGAAATAATTGTCAAAGCCAAATTGGCATAACAAGGAAGCTTTGATTGGTTAAAGGGGTTCTTGCTTTTCTTACCATACCTTTTTTTTTATATAGAAAATACAAACTTTGGCTTCTTACAATAATTGGTTATTGAGAGTCTCGGGACAAAGTGATATTTCTGGGCAGGAATAGTCATGTACTGTTGTAACTTGTAGCATTATAAATTCTTATTCATAAAGGAATTGGTGCTTGATATATGACATACAAGTTTTAAATGCGGATTGCATGGCAAGGGAACCTTTGCCTGTAAATTGGAAATTGCAGATGTCTTCCATTATCTTAACCAGAACAGGTTTTTCTTTTTCCGCCATGTGAAATGGCTTGCACCTCAGAGCAAGTAGTCTGGTTTCAAGTTTCAACACCCCATAAGGAGAGCAAACAAACAAAGCACTATCTGAGACTAGTTGCATAACAACATAACCAATCACGAAACTTATAAGTTCTGGCAGAAAACTCTTCCTATTTCAGTTCTAAAATCGTATGCACTTGCCCAAAAATTTGCACTTTTCCTACCCAAAAGCTCTTTGCAATAATTCAACTTTACACACCTGTATCCAATCACAAACTTATGAGATGCTTATATGTAATAATTACATAAACTTAGTATCTAATGGGCCTGCAGTTTAGATATGCAATTCGAGCTGATTCACTTTTCTGTCTGATATCTAATGGGCCCGCAGTTTAGATATGCAATTCGAGCTGCTTCACTTTTCTGTCTGATATCTTCATACATCTTTAATGATTCCTCGGAAAATTTAGTCAGTCTATCCAGAACCTTTGTCAAGCTCGAATGTATGCAGCTCAGGTTTGGAGATGATTCTTCGCTGTTCTCGTCATCTTTGTTCTCTGATTCTCCGTTGTTTGCATCAGCTGTCCTCTGGTTTTTCTGTGCATCTGCTTGTTGTGCCATCAAATGACGCAGATCTGATAAGAAGGTTCTGATTGCATCAGTAAGTTCATTAGACGGCAATGCTTGGATCCCGGCTGCCCAATCTCGAAAGAGAACAAATATAGGTGGGGCCACAACTCGACGAGGGGAAAATGGCCTTCTGCTTTTGGAACGCTCCCTTGGTTGCATGATGCAGTTATGTAGCCAACCATTGAGAGCTTCAACATATGACGTATGGCTGTTGATCCAGTTTGCAAAGCTTAGGCCAAAACATTCAATCTCATCCAAAAGTTGGGCCATGATCAGCCTGCGGGAATCTCCTTGGGAAGTTACTGTTGAGCTCTTCGAATGATATGCCAATGAGATGGTAATATACTGCGCATGGTGGCATTCAAGCATGGCCTTCCACATTCTGGTCAATCTACACAGAATCACCATTCACAAATACAAGGTTAGTGATGCTTTGAAACCAAAAAAAAAAAAAAAAAAAAAAGAATTCCAACGATTGGTAAATAATATTTAGTGGCCACGAAGTCCATTATGGGAACAAGAGGATCCTACGTACCCCTGAGTAAGTTCTAAAAGTTGTGGATGCAATTCTTCATCTCTCATTTTCTCAATCCGCTTTGATATTGATTCAACAGCGTGAATTGCCACTCTTATTCGTGAATGAAGATCCTTTACAACTGCCCGGGTTTTATCAATAACTTGACTGCTACAATCCTTTGCAAACTGATTCCTAAGTTGATCACACTTCTGATCATACACCTTCCTAATAGATTCACTTGCCTACGAGAACCAAAAAAATATGTGAGAAGATGATTAAAAAGCTAGAAAACCAATAACATAATAAGTTTGATCACTATGGCAAAAAGAAAAAAAAATTATCAATCATTATCTTTTCTCCTGTATTCAATGTCAGAGAAACAGGGTTCACAAGATGCAATAATAAAAAGTTGATGTTTCGAGCAATATTCACTCCATCTACCAACTGATTTCATCAAATAATCATACTCTCCACAAGACA